TATAAACCAAAACGTAAATAAATACAATCGAAAACGTACCAGGTGCCCGTTAAGGTTTCCCCAGACAATCCAGCAGACAGTGTTTGCTGCTCTTGCTCTCTGTCAGTTATAGTACTTTTCGTGTATTATGTTTTTTCAGTGGCAAGAGCCTCGACTGAAGTATCATAGGCCTCGCACAAATCCACACTTTTCTCCATATTTACATCACCCCCGCTATCACAAGAAACGTCTTCGGCAAAAGAGAGTTCGCAAGATGATTGTGTTGCAAAATTTGAGCTGTGGCTTTCGTCAGAAGACATAATTTTGAACAAAAAACAGCCTAGTATAACCTTTGATAATATTAATTTCTCCTTCGGGAAAGAAGCGTGTTGAGTAAATGACGTCACATCCGGCTAAGAAATCAACATCTCGCTAATTGGCAACTCAGTAATGGCGGCCGAAAATTTTGCATGTTTGCGTTGAAAAAAAAGGCAGAAGGAAATGGAATTGGACGCTGATATTTGGTGATTTTGTTTATCTACAGACATACTTCCTGAATATACAATAAAAAGACAGCACAATTTTCCATCGCAGTGGCACTTTAAGCAAGAAAATCGTAAGCGCCAGCGCTAATTGTAGTCAGCAACATAACGTTGTCGTTACTGCGCATGCGATGAATCTCCAAGAATCTTGGAGATTTCATCGTATTTTACCAGGGTCTTCCTCAGCTCACGCGCCACCACGAGGAAGACCCTGGGGACGAGGTTGATATTTTATCGCCATGCAAACATTCAAAGAACTTAATATCACAATTGTTGTAAAGATCGATAATTAGTTTAGGCTAAATATAGCCTGCGCGGCAGGCGGTATTTCTACAGGCAGCGAAAATTAGGGAGGCAAAGGAAATACCGTCTGCCGCAAAACTAGGGGTTTTTGAATTACCCGTCCGCTGGTGAACGGGAAAAACGGATTGGTTAGTATTTTTATGTAGTTGTCAATCAACGGCTAAATTCGGTTAAATGTTAATCATTAACCAAATGTTTTGACGTTTTGAAACTCTGCGTTTAGAAATTAGTTCACGTCAAGTCAGACCAGAGAAAACATAATAAAAGAAGCAAATTAAAAGATACAAGCTGAAAAATAACACTCTAAATAGTGTTTTTGATAGAGATTCGAACAAGAATATTTAACAAGGAAGATACGTCCGAAGGGGCCGAAGTTATGATCGGCGAAAGGTATGGGCTAGTCTATATTTTCGTTCCTAGACAATTTATACATGCGTATTAATTTGATAATATACTAGCTCGCTTGACTTTCAAAGGCCATAAATCGCAATAATGTTGACATTTTACAAAAACTATCGATAGAAATTAGGAGATATTTCTTCACTTAATCGAATAGTGGGATTTTCATATAGGCCTATCATGTTCTGAACCAAAGATACTTGAATACTTGATAGATATTATATACGAACCTCCAAAGTATAAACAAGGGGCCGGTTGATGCAGTAATTATCAAATAACAGTTAAACTCTTATATACCCGTTGAATATGTATAGTTGTAAACAAATAAAAACTATCGTTCTATAAGGTTCAATACTTTCAGTTTGGTTGTTGACTGATGATGAATCTATAGTATAGACTTGCACATCACTAGACACAGTCTACACTTTGAAATGTCGAAGACAGTGGGAGATTTATTTTTTATATTTTATATTTATTTTATATAATTTATATATCAATCGTTCGTATCTCCACGAACAATGACAGAATGACTGAGTTTCTTTAAAATACAATGAAATTTCATTCAAAATTCTGTTTGTTTCAAATTGGAAGTTTAAAATGGCAATAAACATGAACTCTATATAAAATATAAAAAATTAACTGTCTTGAATTATTTTGTCGGGCGGTACATTTATATTGTATAACGAAATATAAAACGTTTTCACGAGGATTTTAAAATTCAGTCGGGCGGTGATGATCATGAGAATCAAGGACTTTATTTTATGTTGGGCAGTTCGGTCTTGGGAGCAGCTATAAATTTTGAATATAAATCTAAACTAGAAGTTACTATCGCAAGGAAAGTGCTGCCTCATCCCCAAGGGATCAAAGGCAGCATGCACAATTTGCTGAATAAGGGGCTGTTTATATGATCCCGCTTTGCCAGGACGAGATCATGGTCTACAACTGACAACATTTGAGGTCTGTTAATTAACCAGCATTTGAACTTTCATTTAACCTAGTGATTGAAATACATCAAAATCATCCCACTTTCCATCATGTAAACAGCCCCTAAGATGCCTGTTCAGAAAGTAAGAAAAGCGCATTTTGAATACCAAAACACCTTGCACAATGTCGAAGGTTAGCTAAATATTCTAATTCTTCTTAGATTGCCACTGAATACTGTACAATATCATATAAACATTAATAATACTTGAATGAATCATTGGACATGTATAGAATTTAATAACAATTTCATACAGCACCTTGAAGGCTATGTTCACAAAACAACTTAACAATCTGCTGATGGGGAGACAAAATTTACTTGTTGCCATTTTTGTTTAATATGTCAGCTTCAGATGATACTGTTCATGGCTAGCTTGCCACTGAATACTCTACAATATCATATATATATATAAACAATAATAATACTTGAATGAATCATTGGACATGTAGAATTTAATTGGCCTCCTCCGCAGGCATCGCCTTTAGATTATCGGGCAAAATTTCTTGCAGGCAAAAAACCGAGATGCCTGCGGAGTTCATGTGGTTACGATACTGTATAACTCTTGATGTGTTCATGTGGCTACTAACTCTTGACGAAGGGCCTTCGCTCGAAATGTCGATTTTCTCAGGTAATAATATAACTACTCAGCACAGCAAGTCAGTCACATTGGTACTACCCACACTGGCAGTGGCGGAAATCTCGGTGGGGCGGGCGGCCGCCCCCCCCCCCCCACCTTCGTGGAAAATGATGAATTTTCGGAAATTTTGACCTAAAAGAGGGCTAAAAACAACCTTTTCGAGTGCAACTGGGGTGGGGGTGTCGGAAATTTGAAAGTTTTGTCGGAAATTTAGAAGGATTCGTCCCCCGCCGGAAAGAGTGAATTTCCACCACTGCACACTGGTACAGACAGTTTTAGTATGTTCACAGAACAACTGAACAATCTGCGGATGGGGAGACAAAATCTATTTGTTGACATTTCTGTTTAATATGTCAGCTTCAGATGACACCGTTCATTTGTAATGACTAAGATTGTACTCAGTCATAACTGCAAAACTATATAATAAGAGAGAAATTGCGAGCATTATCAAAAAATATAGTATACCCTGAACACAGCCAGGTGAATATGTGAATGTAGGTTGGTAGCCGGTAGGACTATTTCATATTATGCTAACAATGGACATATCTCAGAGAATATATTTTCACAGACCGTCATATACCTCGTACAAAAGGCGGTTGACATGTTATATTACATGTAACTGCTGGTAAGTTAGCTAATATGTGCAGACAACAATCCACACTGGTCACTGGGTTAAACTGCATGCATGTGTTGCTATAGGAATATAAAATATCTTTACATTATATTAAAAGCATACACAACATTCCGCGTTTGTTTTCAAAACGTGCAGAAATCACATAATTTGCTATATCTGCAGTATGTACATCTAGAATGAACACTATAAACCATCGCACACACAAACAAATAAACCAAAAGTGCATTTTGACTCCTCATGCAAATGTGCCGATAAATTGGTGAAATCATATTATATTTGTTTCAAATACCTCATATCGAACACTTCCAACAGCAGATCTAAATATAAATGTCTTCATGTAATATCACCAGAAAGAAATAAAGCTATATATATTCTTACCTGAATTATTCAAAATATTGTCGATTTGTGAAAATCCAACATGCCAGTGTATCATGCGAGCGCAATACAAAATAAATTTTTACCGCCCCCCTCGTTTAAAAAATCTTCCTGAAGCCTTAATTATTTTCCCGGAATTACGACATCTTTACATACAAACAAACAGACAGACACAAATTCACAAAATCGAAATCTCGATCGACTTTTCATAACTCGGCCAAAGAGACTGGACACAAGTAAACGTAGGCACGCAGTACTTCATGTCAAGAATAGTGTGCTGCCTTCGGCAGCAAATAGCTTTGATGCTTCAGGGGCGGTAGTTCGTTTACACCCAGTTTTGCGGCAGGCGGTATTTCCTAAGTACCGCCTGCCATGCAGGCTAGGCTAAATACTGTACACGGCAAAAAACGCCGAGCCTGTTGCTCAACAGGACTCAACAATGTTTTGCTGCCCACGTTGTTCATAGCTGTCAACAATATCGAACAATGTTGTTGAGCCTGAATCGGGTGTAACAATATTGTTCAATATTGTTGACAGCTATGAACAATGTGGGCAGCAAAACATTGTTCAATCCTGTTTTCATCAGTATTGCATCAACCTGAGCGTTTTTACGCGTGTAGGTTAATTTAAACAAGTAAGCGTAATACTTGATGTAGTCGGTCACTGAAAAGCCCCGTCAGAGGTTTGTCTTATTTGAAAAACCCACAATTTTTAAGGCAGCGTTTGCATAGCTGACATGGGTCTCATGGGTCCTCCGGCCTAATGATGCTCTACATAATGAAGACGCCCTAGATGATTATTTAAAAGTATACCCTAACTCTCAGGCATATATGATGCGATCTTTGTTTATGTGAATGTCTGACTTGTTTCATTGAATTTTACACAATCCAAAACTTTCAAAAATCTACAATTCAGTAGAATTTTCTATTTGCAAATAGAGGTCACATTGTTTCTTTTGTTTTCTAACAACCCCCGCCCCACAATGCAAGACTCCAACAAAAGCAAAGACCCACCCCCATAGGAGAAGGTGAACATTGCATAGACCGGCTTTCTCAGATAAGGGCGTTAAAATGGTAGGAACCTCGGGCAATAGCTTGTTGTTGAATCCGCTTACCAATGAGTGAGAAACTCAATAAACTTAAATTAAGTCTAAATTTCCTTTTCAATTAAGGAAGAAAATCGTTCAAGAAGATCGTAGGGATATATGTTGACCAAAGTTTCTAACTGTTTGGAAATGTTTCTTACCTCGTGCGTTATTGGATAAGGTTTATATGTAGGTTGAACAGAAGAAACCTTCGTTGCCACAGCTGGTTCATCGTCGATTTGACTGAATTCTTCACTTAGAAATTCTTCTTCAGATTCAGAACTTCGACGCTTTTTCTTTCTCGTTTTCCAAAATGCCACCCCTATTGCCAAGATCAACAATGTTGCAATCCATAGCGAGATAGTAATGGCTAGACCTAATTCATTCATCGAGCTAAATGGAAAAAAATTTTCCAAGTAAAGATGCTTTAAATAATTTTTCAGGTAATTTTTTGGTCATGTTCCTAAGGACATCACAAATCAGTAGTAATAAGTTCTTTGTATGTTTGCATGGCGATAAAACATATGATAGTTTTGTTTGTGGAACACCACGTAAATTTATTACTGCAAAGCTTTCGATCCGTAAGCCCGGATATTCATCAGTGCTAATAATTAGCACTGATGAAGATCCTGGCTTACGGATCGAAAGCTTTGCAGTAATAAATTTACGTGGTGTTTCCACAAACAAAACTATTATAAATCAGTAGTAGTAGATTAAATGCCATACGATTAGGTTTAGGAATGGCTAAGAATGTATGTAAACTGAGGTTGCTAACTTAATCGAATTTTTTAACTGGCCATTTTAAAACAATGACTGACTGGATGGCATATATACATGAAACAATGGATTTTTTTAAACAAAATGACTGAAAGACAAAGTTCGGATCACTAGGGTCTGACTTAATGCTAGCTTTTTCTGGAAAAGGGACCAATGCACATGCAACAAACGATTTTAAGTTTGGAGGAAGAAATATTGCTAGCGAGATTAAGTATATATATAGCTTTACAGTACACCAGAATATTAATACCTCACGATTGAATTTCGAATAAATATATCACGTTCTGTTTTAGTTAGGCATTGCCAGCTACCATGCATGCATGCGAGTTACTTAAATTCACTTTAATTGAAAAAGCTTATTTTATGTTTTACTGCTTCATCATGGACACATTCAAGGCTTATTTTATATTCCACTGTCTTAAGGCGTTTTTCATGCGTGCCTATACACACACGGAAAGGTTTATAACCATATGAAATAATTTAATCACAGCATTTAGTTTTATGATTTAAAGTGTATTTGTTGAGGTAATTAGTAATTATATAAAATTTAGAAAGATTTTAACTTTTCCGTGTGAATTTAACTTTTCCGCGTACGTACTGACAGCGCGCCTTTATTGGCACATTCAACAATTAATTTGAAGGTGCATGGGGGGAAGTATATAGTGCGATAATAATCATCAACGATTTGTGCATGGTACATGTGATTTTAGTCAAGCTTTCAAGTACGTCATCAGTTCGTCCGCGTGAATGGTCTTCAATGCATGTGCTAAGTGCATGAAGACAAGTGTATTCTTCCGTTCGTGTAGTGTCTCTGGCGTCTAACGATAATTCTAGCACTTTAAAATATAAGTGTGAGCAACCAGGTTAAATATCAGTCCAGTGTATTTCGAACGTTGGGTGACAGTGTAGGTAAAGCGAAGGAAAACAAAGCGTGGAAACAGATGATATATGCAACTACCTGAAAAATATATAATAACCTTCGATGTTTCGAGAGCGTCTGGACGTTGAAGGGCTATATTGACTTCTAAACGCGAAGGGCCTAAAGGTTCTGTCAATATTTCTCAGGTAGTTGCATCATGCACACAAGTTCCAATAAATTATATTTGAGGTTGGACAAGTTCACCTTTATTACTTCGACTACAACGTTATGGAACAGTTTTTGCGCACATTTACAGGTAATTCGTTGGCCGGGGGAGGGATACAGTTAACTTTGCTACATCACTGCATATTCAAAAATATCCAAATGCTTTCTATATAGATTCTAGAAAACTACACTGTCCTTATAGACATATATAGTGCATGTATCCCATATAAAGGCGTAGATTCTGATGATGAAGAAGAATGAGGATTAGATATCATATATTGATAAACGTGTGCAACACACGTTCTACTTTATTTAGTTTGATCTTAGCGTTGAGATGGACAAGAAGCTTTAATGATGATTTCATTTAATCCTAAACGGTTGACTGCATGGATGAATACAAAACGTTTTCCTAGTGTTTATGCTTGTTATTAAACAGATAACTTTAAAATACACGATTAGCAGCTAAGCAGAAATTCAGTTTGAATTATGTTTGCCTGGTTTAGAATAAGGATTTTGGTTAGGGTTGAAATTGAAGCTTTAAACAGGCCTAAACAGCGTTTTAACGTACTGAATGTTTCATTGCAATTCTTGTCTGGATGAAAAACAATCAGTCAACTTTTTAATACGTAACTGATACTGCTGATATATAGAACGGGTATATAATATTTATTGTTTAATTACTTTTTACTTCAAGGCATGCATATGATGGTTAATTATTTTAAGTTAATGATATGATAATTGTGCGGTTTTGTGAACACACAGGCTAGCAATTGATGCATGCAATCCCCTGAGACGGAGTGGAGACGGAATTAAATCTCAATAGTCGAAACGGTTTCTGTATGAGGTAACTGAGAAAAATCGTTTGAAACAATTTTCCTTCAAATTTAGCTCCAGTTCTTATGACATATTGATCACTTGATGCTTGGTAGGGCAGTGCATGCATGCTTGCATGCTTGTGCTAATCACGTGGGTGCTTTTATCGCACACTTCATTGCACTTCATTGCATTTCTTTGTTCTGCGCTTTCTCCTTAACCATGCAAGTCAATTTAAAGGTTCCTGTTTATTTAAGTTTTATTTGAACGCTTGAAGGTGAAATAGTATATTACTGAAGATTATACTCACATAGCTTAATAATTTAATTGAGAATTACAGCTAATAGTTCATGATACACAACCGTTCAAGTTTCTCAATGCTTTGAGCCTTGTCCTTGAGGTGTGACAAGCAATTACAATAATTCAAAACAAAATTATTTAATAATTTGGGAGAGCGTAATTAAAATGTTTAGCAGTTCTTAATATTTAAGAAAATCATTATTGGTATATAAGAATATATCTATTGCGAAATGCTGTAGTTGCAAAGTATAGATGTTTCGCACGGTAAACCGTCTATTGTTTTAGCAAATGATTAAGTATAAAGCATGCATACATGTCCTGTTTATATGCTTCAAGCCATTTCAAGAAAATTGTTTAACCCATTAGACCATACTGAATATTCACGACAGACGTGCTGGCACAAAATTACAACATATATACATTGTTTACTCTCACCTTCAAAACAATCGCTTGAAAATGAAATCAATAGATAGATGACTGCCCTCAGTTACGCTAAAATGATTTCTGAAGAAATAACCTCCAACTTTGTGTCTTCATAATTATTAACAAGAAATCCATCCATCACAGCATTTTATAAGCTCAATTTTAAGTCCATGTCATTGAAAGCGCCATGTTAGATATAAGAAACTTGAATATTGGCACGAATCGCCTAATAGCGTTGTTTTATGCAAGCATGGGCAAATGCCAACTGCCAAATACAGTTCTTGCATTGCTTTGGTTAGAATCGTCGATAATTACACGGCGCTTGAACACGCTAGGTTGGTCGAATGAAGACAAGGAACGTTATCGAAAGATCGGGAATAAAGTGTTTAACTGCATGAGTAGTTTCAACTAGTATAAGTGTAACCTTGCAGTAAATTTAAGAAAAATATGGATACTGTTAACATGACATATATTCGTTAGGAGAGGCGGTTGGGAAGGATTTAACGTCAGATAAAACGTTGAAAAAGGAACTCGTTCAGGTTAATCATGTTTGCTTATGCAGAAAGGTCAACAACGGTCTCTGTAGCACACAGGAGGTAACGATGCATAGAAATGATACAATAAACAGACATAAGAAGGAATATATTTAATATAATCCTTTATGCAGACAATTAGGCTGCGTCAGTAGCAGGCTTGCTTTTTATTTCAAGTTATCGTGGGCCACGGGGAATGTGAACTTACGTATACATCCCTTATTAATTAACGAAAACGAATTATGTGGATCAGTACAACACATTTCTGAGTATGTTCAAAAATAGTATTTGATAAAAAAATTTCTTTACAAAGACCTATAGTCGAAAGTGAAAGACGTGTGATCAGATAACGCGCGTATTGTATATCCCAGTAAAATTAGCTAAATTTAAATAAAGGGGAAAAAATTTAAGTTGCCAAATCAGGTGCATCAAAACCACGATTTGAGCTTGAAAACCTTCATTTTAGGGTTTTTGTTCCCCTCCCCTTCTGTATAACCCCTAAAACTCTCTAAGTACAACTATAGTTGTGTTTTTGCTTTGAACAGTAGTTGATATTTTGGAAGCATGCAGGTCTTATTTTACGTATTACCTTTGTCTTAAATCTTCAGATTTTGATCAATCGTACGACTGTTTATTTCTCATCACCTCAATTATGGCTTGAAAAGCTTCGTAATGTTATATTCAACACGACTTTTTATTAGATATATTCGAGATTTTTCACAAACTATATCTTTAACACTGAATCTCTTTCTATCCAACACAGAAATAAAAGCCGGAAACCTTCTAAGAGAGGAGATCAAGAATTTTGAAGGTTGTGAAGAAAAAATATTCAAATTTTCATTTAAATCTATAACTGGCATCTAAAACGGTTTTTGTATACATGATTATATACGCCATTTTAACATCTAAAACTCAGACAAATTAAAGTAATTCATTTGTCCAATGGCACTAAGATGGTTTGCAGAGCGGGCACGTGAACTCTCGAAGACTACAAGATGCTATAATATTGCCATAGTTGTTCGGTCCATAGAGATAATAAAAGAATAAAGCGAGTATTGCGAGAAAAATCAAGAGGAAAACTCGAAGAGTGGAGGTTCAATCTGAGCTTCTCTTGAATGTCAATGCTGTTTTCGAATAGCTGGAGGGGAAGTAGTCACATAGTAAGGTACGACACTAACCCTCCAGCTATTCAAAAACAGCATTGACACTCAAAAAAAGCTCAGATTGAACCTCCAATCATTGAGTATGAGTGCGAGTGAGCTACTAGAATACGGGCGTTAGAGCTTCCTGGTGGAGACAAATAACGCTCTCTGATTGGCTAAAATTTCGCGTGCAATTGTTGCCTGGATGTAAATTTTCATTCCCAAATGCCAATTAAGCCGGCAAGCCGCGATGTTTAGGAGGACTGGAAAATTATGAAAATGGTACAACTCTGAAAGCATCGATTTGTTCCAGTTAACATAGTACAAGAAAGGACTAAAATACAAAAACAAGTTTTGGAACGGTAGAAATGTTTTAAAGTGTTTTTTTTTCGACGTTGGATAGCGATGTTATCTGCGCGACCTCGGCACGTCATTTTATAATTTTCCACGATATAATTCCTCAAATTTTCGCCACAAATAAATATAAAATAGTCAGGACTATTGAGAAAACCTGGATTGAACACTTGAATTGTAGCCAAAAAGTGAAAAAAATAGATTTTCTTGGTTTTAAATTCGGATATAACTCAAATTTGCCCCCATTAGCAAACTTCAATTTGTCCCTTTTGTTTGCCTAGACTTTTCCTACAACGTTCGCTCCGCTATATTTTATGATCTCTACTGTCACCGTTATCCCAGGTTAAGTAATTTGATAAGACATCCGCACGCACACCATCATATACACTAGTCACAACTAATTTTCTCCACTAATAAAGGCTTTAAGGCAATTTAGGGGTAAATACTTGGAAGATAAAGAACATGAAATCATGCGGTTCCTGGTATTCTTCTCTCAAAATTGAAACAAGAAGCCTGCTACAAAGGAGAGAGATAACATGGTAGAACGCCGCAATGGCCAGCTATAATATTCATCCGTAATAATCTTAACGTACGTTGGAAGAAATCTTTCCACTTTATACCCTCAGACAAGAAATACAAACGACCAATACTCAACATTCTTTTTCTTATCATTTTTATTTAGAGAAGGGATAACACTTTCTTCTAAGACACTTTCAAAAATCTGTATTAAATCTTGTTAAACTGTTTCTAAAATCTTTGTACATTGAGAATTTAAGCAGCCAATCACATCATTACCGTGCACTGCACTCTGGCACTGACGCATTTGTTCTAAGTTTTTAGTAGGGCGTAACTGGATTTAATTGTCTGATAACATTTCCCGGTCTTTTGTCACTGCATGTTGACAACTGATTAGTATCTTAACCATGACGAAACAGGCAATTCTGAACTCACATCATCGAAAATCCTGATAACTGACAGTTGACTCAGGGGCGTAGCCAGCTCCAAACATGTGGATGGGGTCTAATCTTAGAAAACACAGAACAACTAAGGCCTTCAGGCGTTCGGGGTATGGTTCCCCGGAAAATTGTTCTATTTTTAGTTCCTGCAAAATGAAATTTCCTGTATTCGAGACACGTTTATGATAATCTCAATGCCACAGATTTGGTCTATTTTATGTCGTAAATGAAAGAATTACGAGGTCCTCCCCGCCAGGTTTGGAAAAATTACAAAACTGGTTTTGAAAGAAGGTGGGATGGTTCGGACCCCTCAATTGCCCCCGTAGCTACGCCCCTCAGTTGGCTTGACGACACCCACATTAAAACTCTATGACAATTGAAAGGAATATGCGTGAACACTACTCATCGGAAGAGCTACAATCTGTCAGCACTTCATTCTCGCTGCAACTCAGTCGACCTCGCAATCGTCTCCTGTTAGTGGCGTTATAGGACTGACATTGCCGTAAACCATGCCACTGAGCAACTGCCTTATTTGCATTCATTGCGTTATTCCAATGCAGTTTAGCGTCACTGTCATGTACATCATTTCCCATTAGCACTCGTCCTAAAGCTATATCTGCTTTATCTGTTCGTTTTTGTTTTAGAGTAATCTGAAGTTTCATATTCGCTATATCAAGGTCACTCAGATCAAACAGAATGGCTTCGTTGTAAATTGGATTGTTCGTTCCCGACATGGAGCGCGTCACTTTTCTCTTTCGTCTGTTCTTTTTCATATAAATGATAGTAACCTCTGCGTAAATACCTGCAAAACATAGAAATGTTAGGCCGTTTGGGGGACATATTGCAAGGCTGGAGGCGTAGGCGGATTTTCAGATTTTCCTATAGCGGTGGGGGGGAGGGGGCGAAATTTCAGGGAGAAGGTGAGAGACGGGGCATGTAATGCCGCCGCGCATGCTGCAGCAATACACCTGTCCGTTCAAACGCAATCCATAAATTTTCAAGTAATACTTTTAAAGAAATTGTTATAATAAATACCACTCTTAAAACCTCTAAAGCAAATATTTTCAAATTTGGTTGAATAAACTCAAATTATCAAGGCAAATGGTTAAAACAAATATTTCAGCATTGTTGCATGATGTTGGGCTAACATTGTTGGGTTTAAACGAGCTTTACAGTAAAACGTTGAGAGGATATAATCCTCCTCGCTCATCTCTCAAAATCATGGTCCTGGAACACACCAACACCGCGGTCAAACATCAAGTACATGCGCGAGTCTACGTAAAATGGCGGAGAAAATGTCTGACAAAATATTGTGAGTAAAATTTATATAATTGTGTTGTAAGTGCGAGAAAAACAAGCATTTACTAGATACAAGGAAACAACTAAAAGTATAAGCTCATGCAGGAATTTCAACGCTTTTTCTTTGTGACAAGAAGGAGTTCTACTGAGTTTGCACTTTGTAATTTTTTTTACTTTTCCCTAGAGCTTCGTGAAGACACTATTTCCAGTATTTCAAATACAAGCAGTCGATACGCAGACGTTTGAGGACGGTCTGAACGTACCTTGATTGTCATCTGATGTAAGGTTGAGATTCTGAGCTTTGAATAATACAACTGTGAGTCGTTTTGTTGTTTGTGTATAGGTGAGTGAAAACAAGACTGCTCCGTAATGACCGTACGCATTGTTATTATTGTGATCTTGAAAATCCTAGAAAATACAAAATAAAGAGGGCTTTACCAAGGAGTCCTAAAATTTCTATTATTTACTGGAATATGTATCCGAAAATTGATCAGAAAGTACAAGCAGGGTGAAGGTCTGACTAAAACAAAAAGCTTATGCCATGGCTCCAATAGTCAAAGGTTAGCGCTGAAGTTTGAAATCTTGAGTCTCTGAATTGAAATGCCATTTTATGCACTTTGCCTTTGTGGTTATAGTGGTATCACTGATATTCAAGATGGCTTATTTTTTGTCCTGACCCGTGCAAGAACTTTTAAAAAAAGCTAGGGTCAGGTGCGCGATAGTCGCGAAAACATTCAATATTTTCATTCGAGGCCGCTATCTTTATCAGTGATACCACTATAACCACAATGCAAAGCGCTACGAAAACGTAATAAGGGGAATCTAGTATTTTAACAAATTAGTGAAATTTAGCAATTTAAATTTCAAATGGCCCGAACTGGTCTTCGAGGTTTATTATTCTTAATTAAAGTCGTGATTTGGAAGTTTTCTTACCCGAGAAATTAAATTATTGAATATCACAGACCCGCCCCCTACAACCTCCCTCCCCCGCCCAGTCAGTGTTCAGTCGGGCAGATTCCGACTTAAGTTCGAGCATTCGCTAGATTGAAATGACAGATTGAAACTTGTTTAGTTCATTGATTAGGAGTTGTGTTCCTTCAATTTACCTTCTATTCATTAAACCCATCTTGTCCCGACACACCGGGATCATCGGTAAACACCCCCAAAGAATATTCCTTTTACACATATCATAGTAACATTTGGTTAATATTCAATTGTTACAGTATGTTTTGCCTGATATATCTTTCAAATCTGCAGTAGCAACCTCTATTCGTCGGCAAAATAATTATGGATATCAGACGGAGAAACTACGAGGATAATTTTGGGCAATTTCCATTAATGTCGGGCAAATATTTTCCCGCTTTAGTTTTAGACTCTTACCCGTGATATGCGTTGGATATCTTTACAAATAATGGTCTCTTTATTTGAAATAATTTCCTGGTCCGTCAGTTGATCAAGATTATGCCCCACCATACCCAGGCACTCTCCTTGTGAAAAACTATCCACATACCAGACGATAAATCGTAGAGATGTCTCCTGGACCTTCACACTTGATACATCAAACTCCAGTCTCTCGTTAAAGTTCGGCGCGTATGTCCCTTGTTGAACGTTGGATTTTAATTCTTGATTTCGTGTGTTGACGTTTGTGTTATGTAGGAGATCGACTGTGACATAAACTCTTGGGTGATCATCCTTGGCCTCAGGCAGTTCATCTGCTTTCAGGAGATTTACAACTAGTTTTGAACTGAAAAGAAAAAACAGCATCACTGGTAGAATGTAAATATAATGTGTGCCTCCCTGGACGGCTACAATCATGGCAAACTTTGCGAGGATTATAGGTTTTGTTTGTTTTGTATTCTTTGATAAAATTACTGAATTCCTATTGGTTGAATTAACATGTCTGAAATAAACCGACATTGGCAGTATCGTTTGTTCATCTTATATTCGCTATGAAATTGCTTTCGTTAAATTGTGTGACTGGTCTTTCCAATTCCCCGTTAGCTACTAAATCCCTGGCGAAACTAATTGGTTGAGAGCATTGACTTTCTTATTGTCGATTTCGGGCCACGTTTCAAAGCGCAATTCCCACGTTTGTTGTGAACATTCAATTCCCAATTAGCCATTTCCCAATCGAGCAGAAGACTGGGTCTAGTTGATGTTTGGAGAGACGTTTGGAGGGACAAAAAGTTATAGTGAGCAAGCTAAATATATATTAAAAGATGCCCTATTATAATTGTTGCGTTTCAGTCTGCACAAATAACTTTAGGAATGTAGGAAAACTTTCTAGATGCCATATTCGGCATATTGTTTTTTTGTCCCTCCAAACAAGCGACTAAATCCAGTTCTCTGCTCGATTGGGAAATGGCTAATTACGTTTCTAAATTTGGAATATTATGCATCGCAATCAGCTTACTGAAATACCGAAGTACTGAACAGAAACTCGTAGTGACCAAGATATTTGACGAATTATTTATTAAAGATTTTAAGAAATACGTTTAATTCGTTGGCTATATTAGTAAAACACTGCAAAATTACGAGTTTATGTTCAGTACTTTGTTTCCATCGGGAGGTCATTTTCGGAAGATGGAAGAGGTGTTAAATGGCTATGTAACTAACTCAAGCCCTACCCATACTCTAACCCCTAACCCTAACCCTAACCCTAACCCTAACCCTAACCCTAACCCTAACCCCGACCCAAAAAGAATAGAAATCCGTCAAATAACGTAACGTCAGTTTTATGGTTGGAAACGGAGGAAATGTCTGCCAACAAATTTGGGAACCGCGCTTTGAAAGTGCCTGAAATTGAGAATAACTGAGTTTTTTCAACACACACGGTCCTGCAGTTCATGACCACGCTCTAGTCACCGCGAACAACATAGTAGTTACAAAGACGACAACAATAAATATAGTGCATGCATTGTGGCACAAAATGTATTCTATATTTAACAAAACTTGACAAGATTGGTGCATTCCTGCAAATCAAGCCTTGTTTAAGTACAACCACAGTTTATAGACTGGTACAACAAACCTTGGAACATCTGACAAAGCCAAAGAAAAATACAACTTTCCAAGATTCTCTTTGCTGTTTATTAATCTTTGTATCGGATAGATATACTAAAAAAAATTTTAAACGATTAATTTACTCTCCCCTGATAGGTCAGGAGTGCCCAGAGGGGGGCAGGCAAAAGAGACGATTTGCCCCGAACTCCAAGCAAAAGGGAAAAAAGTGAAATAAATATGCATTGTTATAACTGGTAACTACAGTACTGCCAAGAAATAACTTATCAAAAACCGCGTCCAAGACGCGGGTATCTTGCGTCCACTGTGCGTCCACGGGCGCCCGCGGGTGCGTCCGTCCTGCGGGCGCCGTGCGTCCGTCTTGCGTCCACTGTGCGTCTGCGGGCGCTTGCGGGTGCGTCCACTGTGCGGGCGCCATGCGTCCGCTTTGCGTCTGAGGGCGAGGACGCAGCTGAGAAAGAGTTCTATTCGTAGATCGTCGGAAATTATCGAGTTTCGCTTTTCATAAACAAACCGTGGGCGTCGGAAAATATTTATGTTAGCGATTTCACACCACGTTTTTATGCTTATACACAAGCGTTGCAGACCTACTGTAGAATCCTCGATATTTATATTTCTAATATTAAACCTACCGTGAATTTTCTGAATTTGTGCTTCGTAAAGTTCTTTTTCGTATTTGATCTCTACTTTCGCACCTTCGTATAACGTTTGGTTTAAACCCATGCAGTAATCTTTTAACGTTGCCGGTTGGCAAAATGCACGTATGGTTTTATATCTTCTTCGAAGAAACCCAAAATACGTTTTGGTTGACAAGTAAGCGATCGATACCTCATTTCATTAGTCTGATAGTAATACGGATCGAGTATTAGTCTGAGCTCTTCACTTCAGCTCTAGCGAATTATACTGCAACTTTGAAAATCAAGCGATGAGTCACAGTCATTGAACCGTGTTGAAACACAAAGACTGCTTCCTGGACATGCAAAGGTATTCCATTAAGGGATTAAGAGAAGTCATTTATCCAGAAATTATATGGTAATTATCAATTTATATGACATATCACCATGTGCATTTACTGCTTTGGAAAAACAACACAAACTTGTTGCTGTAAATAAAGTTATATAGTGGCTGGTAGTAATGGTATTTTATATGAAAAATCAAAAGCACTATATATATTGTAAATGAGCATCTTCGTTTTAATATACTGACGAGTTACGGCGACATAATTGGCGGGCATTATTCAAATACAGAATTGCATATCAACTAATCGGCAATCTTCTACGAGGTAAGTCAGAATTTGAGTAGCAAATGAATGTGTTGCGAGATATATACTCGTTGTAGTCGTGATCTCACTGAGTTTAGTATGTGTGTCTACATTATATTTATATATAGTTTATGTCTATTTCACGCTCCAATATCAGTCATATACGCTTCAATCGCCACTCAAGTACGTGTGATTGCATTGTGAAAGCACTACGCTTACTGTAGTATAACGTATAACATTATAAAATGGTTATACTAAGTGTAACGCTTAGGTTCAATGAAACTCAATTTCGGATTCAACTTTTTATTCTTTGCTTCTCCGATCAGTGACACTGATCTGTATTCTCACGGCAAACTACGAGTATGATGCAAATGTTAGTTCGTTTTTCCGATTATGTTACGACCACTGCGTCCAAGCGGACGCAGCTTTGTCTAGAGGCTGGACGCGGGCGCTTTGGAGGCAGGACGCGGGCAGAGCAGACGCAAGACGCGGGCGTCGTGGAGGTCGGACGCGGGCGCTCTGGAGGCAGGACGCGGGCAGAGTGGACGCAAGACGCGGGCGCTCTGGAGGCAGGACGCGGGCAGACGCGGGGACAAGTTATTTCTTGGCAGTACTGTATTGCAAAATAAGAACAGAGCAAGTGATTAAGAGGAAACTCGGATATCCAATTGTTGAGGGAATGCGGTTTGGATGGGGTTATCCATGGTGAAACTATATTCTCTTGATGTAGTTGGCGTAGAAGACAAAGGACAGGACGACCAGCTACAAATCTATGAAGACTTTAAGTTTGATAGTTTGATAGTTTATTTGACACTAAAACTTACAGCTCCAGAATATAACTAATTCCACTGCTGAAATATGTTAGGTTTACAAGGATATTAAAACTAATTTTACATGTATTTGTTTAAGAAAACGAATAAGATTAGACTAAATACTTAAAAATACACGTTCACATATATATACTGTATGCGCAGACTTATAATTTGTTACTAAAACACTCACTAATGCTAATTTAGATTAGGTTAAAACCAGCATATTCGCGGTAAAAAACAGTTTCTAAGTTATTCAAAAAACTTATTAGAGTTATAAGTGATAAAACTGTTCCTAAATCTGTTCGTTTTATGAAGTGGCACGTTAAATTTCCTATTTTTACGCAAAAAATGACTATTGTCATTATTTAATGGCGGTAACAAATCCGTTAATTTGTGCTCAGGATTATTGACTACGTCCTTAAAAAGTTTTGTTGTTAATTCCTCTCTTCTATCGTACAGTGATGGGGTGTTCGTGTTCCTCAATGCTTGTTTGTAGTGTTGATCTGGGAATATTATTCGAAAAGCTCGTTTCTGAAGTCTTTCAAGATCATCAGACAGGTATTTGGGTAATGAGTCGTGAAATGCTTGGCACGCATACTCGATGACTGGTCGAATACAGGTGGAGTAGAAAAGGATTAGGTCGTTAGCTGGTAATTTCGCTCGTTTTAGTCGTCTTAAAAAATATAGACGAGGTGCGACCTTTTTACAAACGTGTGAAATATGACTATTCCACTTCAAGTTATTTGAGATGGTTAGACCCAGCAATTTTACCGATGTTACACGTTCGACAATTTTCCCATTAATAGTAATTGGCTGGAACTCACGTATGCGTGGTGCAAAGCTTATACACAACTCTTTGCATTTTGATTCGTTTATCTGAAAACCGTTAGCTTTTGATTTCTGGTTAAATTCATCTACGTACTTTTGTAAGTTACTTGGACCATCTCTACAAACTGATTCCGACAAGGATGAGTCGTCAACATATTTCCATAGATCATTAACATCCTTAACGCTTAGATCATTAATCATAATACAAAATAACCATGGGCCGAGCTTTGTGCCTTGGGGGACGCCGGCTGGGACCTTGCCCCATTCGGAATGGCAATCTTGGCTGAGTTTTACCCTCTGTTCTCGGTCAGTCAGAAAGTCTAAGATCCAAAGC